GAAGGCTCATTAACAATTTATGATATGACACAACCTTGCTTATTGAAAGCAAGGAAGACTTGAAGCCGCCTTTATCAATTAAAACTTCAGTCTTCAGTATGGACTATACCTCAACATAAAGAAAAACACAAATTCTCACATTTGGGCTAAGGAGTAACATCATAAAAAAATGGAGAAAATATTAGAGTTGTCAAGGATTTCATTTTACTGGGATCTAGAATCAACACCTATGAAAGCAAGAGTGTGGAATAAAAGATCACTTTTATGATTAAGATGTTTCTGACCCAAGACATGGCATTTTCAGCCACTTTCAATGCACTGGAAGATTGCTAGGCCCAGACAAGGGGGGCCAAGGGGAAGAATGAAGAATTCAGAATTCAAATGTTGATGGCCTTGCTTACTGTTGATAAGAACAGCAAATGGCCTTGGCTGCCTGGCTAAGCTAACAAGCAAACCACCATAAATCAAAGTAAAAGGTACCTCCCCTTCTTCCCTAAAGACTCTGTTATTAAAACCCTCCCCAATAAGTTCAAGCTGTGACTTCCCCATTCTGCATTTACCGAATGAGGAATGTCACCGGGGAGCTGCCCTATTCCCCCCATTAATAAAGCTAAGTTAAACTTTCTCTCATTCTCTCTGATTTCTTCCTTAAGTCCACTAACTTAACAAAGACTAGATAATCAAAACAAAAACCTGATAAAAATTCATGTATGATGTATTTTCATTGAAATGTTGGCAAAGAATATTTAATATACCATGGACTCCTAGAAGAAGAGGTAAATTTGTCTTAGAAGGAGTATTAACAGAATGCTCCTTAGCAGGGAGAATGGTAATAGATTGCCTAATTTGCTTTGTGAGTATTATTTAGAGGGATCAATTCTGAGCGAAGGGCATTGCCTTTGATAAAGTAGAGAATGACTGAAAAAGAAGACCTTCAATGACATGATCACAATGGGCCCAAACACAGCAAAAATTTGTGAGGAGTCACAGGTCCAGTCAATGGTTCTTTACATAATATGTGGGGTCACTTTGAATGAGAACTGACTCATGAAACATAACAACCACACAACATTGGGTAACAAGGTAATAGCTTCTAGAATTAAGATGAGAAGAAAGTGAGAAATATTACTTCATTCACTTAACCAAAATACATTTTTTGATGAAAAATTCAATACAAAAATTAAACTATTAATGTACTGAAAATCATGAGGAATTTCAAAACACAATTTTAAGCTTATTCTGTGCCTCATAGCCACAGGTATCATGAAGGGGGAAATGGTTTCTATAATAAAACTGATCTAAACTGAGTTGATCAGCAGGAATCACATGACAGAAAGCATCAGGAATACCACTCTTTTCCCCAAACACAAGATCTTATGGAAGTGTTCATACTGTAAGTATGGAGTTGTGCTCATACTACATACTGGGGCTCATTAATCTTTGCACCACAGCCTGGAAACCATTTTTGTTCCTTTGTCTCCATGTGATGAAGGAAGAACCTCAGTAGTTTTTCAATAAATTGTTGTGTTTAGAGTCAACAGAGTTAGCATATAGTTCAGAATTAGATTGTTGGCCAAACCTCCAAGCTCAGGTCCAATCAGAAGCCTACCTTGTTGGTACCATGGTTCTGGAAATCAGAGCCAAGACAGGAGTAGAAACAATCTGTTGTTGTTATGTGCCTTCGAGTCACTTGCAACTCATAGGACTCTATATACAACAGCCCTAAACCCTGCTCTATCCTGTGCCAACCTTATTATCTCTTGTACACCTACCCCCATAACTCCAGTCACTGAATCAATCCATCTCAAGGATCTTTTTCTCTTGTGCTGTCCCTCTACCTTCCCAAGCATGATGTCCCTCTTCAAGGACTGGTTCCTCCTTGCAACATGTTTAAAGTATGTCAGACAAAGTCTCAGAATCCTTGCCTCCATGAGCAGCCTAGTTTCACTAGGAACAATAAAACACACACACACACACACACACATACACACTCACACACCCATGCCACAAGAGTTCAGTTTTTCAGAGCTGTGAGTGCCTTAGGGTAAAAAGCAATCTCCAAAGTTATTTCTCTAATACTTATTGTCTCTTTACACCTAGTATTTGAATCTTCCTTTCCCACACCTGCTTACACATAAGCCAGTCAGTCTACTGATTCGTTATGGAAGGAGCCTATTCTGTAAAATATCATCACCAGAGTTGAGTCAGAGTTTGTTTCTTTCTATGAGCACAGCCACCCCTGCAATTCTACATCAGCCCTTTGTAGCCACGTGAGGCACATCTAATCTCTCCCATACAACTCTTCTTTTTTTTTTTTACCTCCAGTTTTCTCTCCTTTAGTCTGAATTTCCAGGTTTTTTTCACCTACTCATTGATCACAATACCGCCATTAGACCACCTTTACCTTCAATATATTACAATTTCTGTTGAGTCTTCCTATGTAACCTAGAATTAAATACATTTACCAGATGTTCTAAATGCACAGGGAATAGGATAGCTTCCTCTTCCTCTTCCCTCTTTGTAAATACCATTGTTGTTGTTATTGGGTACCATTGAGTCAGAACCAACCCATAGCTGACACTTCAGTGGGTTTTCAGAGGCAGTAAATTACACAGGAGGCCATTGCCCATCTTTATTCCATGGAGCAGCTGGTGGATTTGAACTTTGCACCTTTTCCTTGGCAGCACCATTCCTTACCACTAAGCTACCAAAACTCCCTGTAAATATCATACATCCATTAATTCATCCTTCTAGGATTCATTGACAGTAAATGTGACTGTAAGCTGACAAAGGATCATGTGAAACGCCCAAGATTTTTTGTTGCAAACTATGTTATATCTCTTATTATTTGTGCTCTCTGGTGGTTTCTAGACTAGAAGCTCTCAATTTCTTTTTCTACCCAATCCCAGGAGTAATGCAGCTCATCTGGTGATAATAATACTCTTGTAGAAGTATTTATTCCTTCTCAATGCCATGCACCATGCTGCATTAATAATCTCTTTTTTAGGTCTTGATGCTTTGGCATCTCATGGTATTATATTTAGCCTCTTCTACACAAAATTGAAAACATTTAAAATTATTATTATTTTTTCATTAAGTGTATTTATTCTCCTGAAATTCCATAGCCTCCAAAAAGGCCAATCTAAGTCAATCTAAGATCCAAACACTATCCTAAGGTGAAAGGTGACACATACTGGAACAATATAATACAAAGAATTTTCCAAAGAGCAAGTATTGCCTTCCTTCCCTGGATTCCTAAATTCAGAAGAAGCACACACATACACTGGCAACACCTTTCATTTTTTAAAAAAGCACTCATTCTTATGAGCATTTTCTAAGGTAAAATTTACCTTCATCATTGTGGGGAAAAAAATAAGCTTATGTTCTTTAATCTATTTTCTCTCTCCTTTCTTGAAGACAAAAACTTAGAGAGTGAAATCTATCACCATGAATACTGAAGCAGAGGATTAGAAGACATCTCTTTCTCTCTCCTTCCCCTCTCCCTCCTCCTCCTCCCTAGCTCTCACTCTCTCTCCCCTTCCCTCTCTCCCTCCCTTTCTCTTTTCCTCTCCCTCTCACTTTCTTCCCTTTATCTTTCTCTCCCTTCTCTTTCTCTTTGCTATTTCTCACCCCCTCTCCCATTCTCCATCTCTCTTCTCTTTCTCTCAATCCCACTCTCACCCTCCTCTCATTCTCTCCATTCTCTCTCTCTCCTTCTCTCTCTTTCACTCTCTCTTCTCCACATCTCTCTCCCCTTATGGCTCTCTATTCCTCAATCTCACTCTCTCCCTCCTCCTCCTCCTCCTCCTCCTCCTCCTCCTTCTACTTCTTCTCTCTTCCTCTCTCCTTGTCTCCCTTTATCCCTCTCTCCCTCTTTCCCTCCTTTCCTCCCCTTCTCCCCTCCTCTCTTTATTTTTCTCCCCCCCCCCCAACATCCACTCCTCTCTCTCTCTTCCAGTGGGTTTTTAGGAAGCTTTAAATCACACAGGAGGAGACTGCCCATCTTCCTCCTGTAGAGTCACTGCTAGTGGATTTGAACCACCACAAGTCACAGCCTTTGGGTTAGCAGTACAGTCTCCTATAGACTGCACCATCCAAATTCTCTGTAGTATGTCTTCAGAGTGCAGCCAGTGAATAGAGATAGTAAGATGTTTGGCTGTGAATAACAGTAAGAGGCAAGGACACCTGGAAAGCTAACTTGAACTGTTGGCTAAAATAAAGAAGTATATTATGAGTTAAACTGAAGGGCTGTGAGTTAGAGTCAAAATGAAAATAACCCTACAGAGCAGGAAATCAATGGCTCTGGACCTTATGGAGAGTTATGAGCTGTTTCTGTTGCCAACTTCCCCCAAGAGGTCCTAACTGAGATTTGGATGTTTGTTTCTAAAAATGGAAACATCCAAAATGTATGACTTCGTGTTCCCCCTTAGAAGAGTTCCATCAAAATCAATCATGATTCACAATGGGAAGGGGTCAGATCCTAATCATCGCCTGATTCACATGCCAGTGTTCCTGTTTACAAAAGTTATACATCTAAGCCTCCTTTGTCCGCAAAGAATCAGCCATCAGACTAAAATATACTTTTGTTTTCATAAGTCATGAAAAGTAAATGCTGGCCCAAATGAATCCTTATCACATAATATACTGGACATAGTATCAGAAACAAGGCTGACCATGTACAGAATGTCATGTGACAGCTCTCTGGAGCAAGTTGAAGCAAGGAAGGCAAAAAAACAATGAGAAAGAGAAGGGATGAATCCTCACGTTGCAGGAAAAGGAAGCCATATTACCCATGCACTTAGAAAAATTAAACCAGGAAAACAAATGTGCCTGATTTGATAATTGACTGTTTACTAGAACAAACACTGACAAGGAAGAGTGTTGACCTTGATGACAGCAGCCTCTTGTCAGGGTATAAAAGGGGATGGGGTGAGGAGACTTTCAGATTCAAGAACCACATTCTCCTGTCAACACAACCAGAACTACCACCCTTTGACACCATGGTCAACTCCTGTTGTGGCTCCGTCTGCTCTGATCACAGCTGTGGTCAAGGCCAGGAGACCTGCTGTCGCCCCAGCTGCTGCCAGACCACCACCTGCTGCCGCCCCAGCTGCTGTGTGTCCAGCTGCTGCAGGCCCCAGTGCTGCCAGTCTGTGTGCTGCCAGCCCACTTCCTGCCGCCCCAGCTGCTGTATCTCTAGCTGCTGCCGTCCTTCCTGCTGTAGCTCCAGCTGCTGCCGCCCCTCCTGCTGTGTATCCACCTGCTGCCGCCCCAGCTGTTGTGTTTCTAGCTGCTGCAGACCCCAGTGCTGCCAGTCTGTGTGCTGTCAGCCCACCTGCTGCCGCCCCAGCTGTTGTGTGTCCAGCTGTTGCCGCCCCAGCTGCTGCATCTCTAGCTGCTGCCGTCCTTCCTGCTGTAGCTCTAGCTGCTGCCGCCCCTCTTGTTGTGGCTCCAGCTGCTGCCGCCCCAACTGCTGCATTTCTAGCTGTTGCCGCCCCTCCTGCTGTAGTTCCAGCTGCTGCCGCCCCAGTTGCTGTGTTTCTAGCTGCTGCAGGCCCAGCTGCTGCATTTCTAGCTGTTGCCGCCCAACCTGCTGCCACCCCACCTGCTCTAGTGGTTCTTGCTGCTGAGCCCTCTGATCTGCATCTGTCTGCCTTGCATCCACCAGATTTCTTCAGTAGTGCAGCTGTGAGCTGAATTACGAGAGACCAATTGTGAGACTTCACTTCCAATGATTTTTGGTCTCCGTTTGGCCTCCAAACACCCTGTCCACCATGTTGTTATCTTTCCCAAACCAAAACCAAATTTCCTTTTCACTGATAATCTGTCAACTGCAATGTCACCTCGAAGCAATGTGTGTCCTGTCAAAATTTTCTCCTTTTAAATAAATAAGAACGTTTGAATCCTAGAAATATAAGTACATAGTGTCTCATTAATTTTCCTCCTTCAGTTGTCACGCGGAGCTCTCAAATGCTCTGCAGTTCTTTGCGCAAAAGTAAGCGGGGCAGATGACTCCAGGGCCTCCCCACTTATTTCCTCCGTTCCTTCCACTGTTGGCACAAAGATGCTTTCTGAGCCAGTGCACCTGTGATTCTGTCTGAGAACTTTCACTAGATGAAGGACCAAACCCTACGTCATCCAACTTAGAACAGATTTAGAAACAATTTCGAAAGCTTCAGGAGCATCCCTGGACAAATGGATTGGAGTTTCTGGATAGAATGTCCTAGGATACTTCCATGACTCATCATAGGATACTGTGCCTCATCATATGATTAATTCTCATTCTAAAGAGGCTATGTTTAAGGTGGAATCTCCCTAAACCGTGTATCTAATATTTCTTATGAGAAGAAGCCCAAACAAGGATTCTTGGGCAATGGTTCAGTAAGAAAGAGCCCTCAGGAGACATTTATAAGAAATAGAGGGAAGCATTACAGGTAATAAAATCTAAGCCAAAATGTGGCTTCAGTTTAACTCTACTCAGCTGATGCTGTAAGGAGTCCTGGAGAGTTGACACTACCACATATTGTCCATCCTGGATGCCAGGTCATTGGCTTTTCAACCCCGCCTTATCACTAGCTGTGAACTACACCTAAAGCCAGAGGGAGGACCCCTTGAAGTGATGTAGCTGCTGGCACTGAAGACAATTACCTGGAGAACAGTGCAAAGGAACAGTGGGAGCCTCCAGCAGGCCAGACTTTCACTAGCATGGGGAGAAGGCATCTTTTTTGACAAAAGAAGTCTGTTTGAAGCATCATAAGGGCCACTCCTGGCTCTGTTCAAATGCACCTACTTTTCTCATTAAAGTCACTAACTGGTTTGTCAACATGTCTAGAGAAACCTATGGGAGGTTCCTATAACCACAGCCTGTGAAAGAAAACAAATAGGAAGAACTAATGTAATAAAAGCCCTACATGGGCTTTGATCTTTAAGCAGACATAATTAGAATGCAGAGAGCTCTGGTGGCATAGTGGTAAGAGGCAGCTCTGCAATCCCAAAAGCATGTGGTTTGACTTAGCCAATTGCTGTACTAGAGAAGGATGGGCAATCTCTTCCCATGTAATTAACAGCCTCTGAAAACTACCTGGAGGGTCAGGCAAACAACAACAGTTAGAATATATAAGGATCCCATTATAGAGTATCCAACGTATTCCTGTTTACTTGGGACTTTTTCTGATTTTAGCCCTGAAATTCCTATATTCTAGTCATTACCTTTCTCTGTTGGGCAAGTAGGGATGGTTGGACACCATAACATGAGTTGGTTTGGAAATAGTAAAAGTAAATTTCCATAACTCATTTGCATAATGTCAAATGAACTAGTGATGTTGTTGTTCAGTGCCGTCTAGTCGTAGGTGACTCATAGTGACCCTACAAACGAAAGTCCTCGACACTTGAGTGCATGACTTTCATCCTTTCTCCAAGTTCATAGGGTTTCCAGAGGCAAGCATATGCCACTCTTGCTTCCAAGCTTGTTTTAACCAGGGAGCACCACCAAACACTCTCCACAATGGATAACCATTATCGCATTTGACACATCAGTGTCACAGTGTTCAGCTTCATCATGACCACAAGTTACCCCTGTACTGCAAGTGGACACACCAGGGCTATACGACCTGGAAGAATGTTTGACCAACAACAATTTAAAATAGTCCTCAGGGCCGTGGATTAGAGTCACCCGCCTTTGGCTTGGTAGCATTGCTTTTGGTCCCTTAGGTCAACTGGTCTCTCTCTATGTAGTTCAGTGCCGTCAAGTCATAGGCGACTCATAGCGACCCTATGAATGAAAGTCCTCGACACGAGGCTGCATCCCACCCAGCTAACATTGAGACCCAAGAGAGACCCACACGCCCTTGTCTATCCTCTAGGCCTGGCCATAGATTTCCGTATTTTACCATTCCAGCACGCCCAAATGCTGGCATACTTTGGGCCAGAGACCCCCAATTCATCTAACAAGTCCGCTCTGTGGCCACTCATTTGAAGCATAACACGATTTGGTTTGGAAATGGTAAAAGTAAATTTTCATAACTCATTTGCACAATGCCAAATGAACTAGTGATACATCATCCATCAATACCCATGGGTCTCAGACATATGTTCTGTGTCAAACACAGGTAATCAATAATGGGGGGAGGGGAATATTAGAACAGTGGATGTCTTTACGGTGATGATGAGTTTACGAAAGTGAAAGGAGATTGATTGCCGGTGTAATGGGGACACTCTTTATCATGACAGATGTGAGGATAACACACATGTGTCCATTTGTCAAAACTCACCAAATACTGCCCTTTGAACTGGTGCGTTTCATGTATGTAAACTTTATCTGAATTTTAAAGCAGACTCTAAAGATAAATTGGGGGGGGGGGAGGATGGTTAAAGGTATTAAAAATGAATCTATAAAATGTCCCCAGACTGTCATATTGACTCATTTACTTGAAGCATTATTCTTTTAAATTACACTATTATAAATTCCTTTGATGTTTCTATACCACACTATATTGTAAGAGGGGCTGTATCTCCTTTTCAATAAACTGTGAATTTCCTACACTTCTGGTTCACATGTCTGGGTCCGTGACTTTCACCATTTAGCTCCCAGTTTATCCACTCCAGCAGTGTCTCTTTTATAAACCACTCCGGAAGTATCTTGTATTTTGAGTCAAAACTCACTCCAGCAGATCTTCAGAGGCTGTAAATCACACAGGAAGAGACAGTCTATCTCTTTCCCTGCGAGCTGCTGCTCAATTCAAATACCACCTTTGAGCTAGCAGTCCCTAAAGACTATGCCACCAGTCATGATATCTTTATGTAAGTATATTTTCTTTAAAAACTGAGTGAATAGCATTAAGCCGGTCTCAAGGTATGGTCCTCACACCTGCAGCATCAGCATCATCTGAGCACTTGTGAGAAATGCAGAGCCTCTGCTCCACCCAGCAATAAGACACTCTTGGATGTTACCAGCATGCTGGATGATTCTACTGCATGGTGAAATTAAACCACCACTAAACCAGAGGGTAAAAAGTACAGAATACTTGGAAAAGTCATCATTCTTGGAAAAATGAAAGGTCAGTGGAAAAAAAAAGGAAGACCCTCAACAAAATGTATTGACACAGTGACTAGAGCAATGGGCTCAAGTGTATCAGAGATGATGAGGCTGGCACAGGATACGACAGGGTCCGGGCCTGTTGTTCATAGGGTTGCCATGAGTTATATACTCCACTCAATGACACCTAACAACAACAAACAGGAGATAAGAAAAAATAATCACTTAGTAAAATTGATAAACTAAAACAAACAAAAATTTATTTTATACCACTGTTAAGGAGCTCTGGTGTCCTGGTAGCAAGAAGCTATATTGCAGTCCCAAAGGCACATGGTTCAAATCTGCCAGTTGCTCCATGGGAGAAGGATGGACAATCTTCTCCTATGCAAATAATTGCCTCTGAAAACCTTCAGATCACCAATGGATTAATTTTATAACACATAATGTGTGGGAATTATCATATGAAATGAAAGTGAGTGAAGGAATGTGTGAAATACAATGTATATTGGTGAAAAGAAGAAATAAAAATGGCATTGTATGGAAAAATATGTGGGGAAAGGGGGAACTCAGTGGCCAAGCTAACTAAATTCTAAGCTAAAATTCCTTTTACTGTACCCTTCCTAAGAAGCTATGTAGTTGGGGGCTGGGGAGTAACCACAGGGTCACACAATTTGATGGGTAGAGGGAGGGATGGGTTAAGGAAATGGGAAAGATCCAGTGTGAAAAATAACATATGTGAACTTTGTAAGTAAACTAGTCTAAAATAAAGATTTTATATGCAGATGACACAACCTTGCTTGCTGAAACTGAGAAGGACCTGACATACTTGCTGCAAGGGTCTGCAGCCTTGAATATTAATTGAAGCTCAACATCAAGAAAACTAAGATTCTCATCAGTGGGCCAACTGGCAGCATCATGATGGATGATGAAGAGAATGAGATTATTAATAGCTCTAGTTTGCTTGGCGCCACAATCAACACTCTTGGTACCAGCATCCAGGAAATCAAGAAATTAATTGCACTGGAAAAGTCAACTGTCAGGGAACTCTCCATAGTACTGAAAAGCAATGACATCAGTCTGGAGACAAAGGTGCACCTGATCCAGGCCACAGTCTTTGCAATTGCTTGCTATGTATCAGAGAGCTGAACAGTGACTAGGGATGATAGAAAGAGAATGGATGCCTTTAAGCTGTGGTGCTGGAGAAGAGTGTTGAATATACCATGGACCACCAGGAGAACAAACAGGTTCATCCTAGAGTGGGTGAAGCCAGCCTGCTCCAAGAAGGCAAGGATTCTGAGGCTTCGTCTGACATATTTTGGGCATGTTGCAAGTAGTGACCAGTCCTTGGAGAGAGACATCATGCTTGGAAGGGCGAAGTGGCAGAGAAAGAGAGGGAGACCATTGATGAGATGGAGTGATACAGTGATAGAGTAATAAGGGTAGACATTTCAGAGACAGTAAAGTTGGCACAGGATAGAGCAGGATTTAGGACTGTTGTACATAGGGTTGCTATGAGTCACAAGTGATTCAACAGCACATAACAACAACAATATATAAAAAATAATGAAGTTAAGTTTCACCATCTTTTAAAAAAAAGAAAAAAGGAGCTATATCATTGGAAAATAGAAACCAAAATTGTTGTTGTGTTGTTGTTATGTGCCGTCGAGTCATTTGTGACTCATAGCGACCCTATGTACAACAGCCCTAAATCCTGCTCTATCCTGTGCCAATCGCATTGCCTCTGACACACCCATCCTGATTACCCCAGTCACTGAATCAATCCACCTCATAGAGGGTCTTCCCCTCCTGCGCTGTCCCTCCACTCTGCCCAGCATGATGTCCCTTTCTAAAGACCTGTCTCTCCTTACAACATGACCAAAGTATGTCAGGCAAAGCCCCAGAATCCTTGCCTCCAAGGAGCAGCCTGCTTTAACCCTCTCTAGGATGAATCTATTTGTTTTCTTGGCAGTCCATGGTACATTCAGTACTCTTCTCCAGCACCACAGCTCAAAGGCGTCAATTCTCCTTCTATCCTCCCTAGTCATTGCCCAACTCTCTGATGCATAACAAGTGATTGCAAAAACCATGGCCTGTGTCAGGTGCACCTTAGTCTCCAGAAAGACACCGTTGCTCTTGAGTACTTTAGAGAGGTCCCTAACCGCAGACTTTCCCATCGCAATAAGAGCAATTAATTGAAAAACCCATAATCTTCTTCTTTGTTATATTAGATATGCATCAACTTTGGTAGAAAAAATAAGCTTATTTTATAGATTTCCTATCTCTGAAGAGAAACACATCCTAATTATTCATTGTTTGGTACCATAAAAGATGTATTTTTATTCTAAATGAGGTAGAATGGAGACAAGGCCATGCCTCCCAGAATCCAGAGAACCAACTGGAGACAAACATAGAATAGAAAAGCAATAATTTAAGAAAGTATGTGAGATTTCTTCAAAGAAAGGGGGGAGCTCTAGTGGCTTGGAGGGTGAAGAGTGACATGGCCAACCCAAAGGCCGACAATTTGAACCCACTAGCAGCTCCATGGAAGAAAGATAGACACTCTCCCCCCTGTGATTTCCAGCTTCTGAAAACCACCTGGAGGGTCAGCTATGAGTCAATTGTGACTCGACAGCACACAACAACAATGCCACATTGTAGTAACATCAATTGTACAAATTACCTACCAGAGTTTAAGGATCTAGAACATAATCCAAAGTTTGAAGCATCCAGGAAAATGCATTCCAAAGTCTAAAGGTCACTTGAGTAATGCACCTTGTAGATAGGTCCTCTTCCTCATTGCCTAGAAATGGCCCATAGCACGGGAACTTTCTGCTTGTTCTGTGTCAGATACCACACTACGCACAGGGTCATTGGAAGTGATGCATACCAAGAAATATGACTGTCCAGATCCCATCCTTGAAGAGGACATGGAAAGCGAGGACCAGATGTGTCATCTGAGAAGCAGACTCTCACATGACAGCCCTGTCTCTCTGTAGAGGAAGCTGAGGGAATGCAGTCCAGAGGATGCCAGCGAGATGTGAATCAAGAGGAAGCCAGGATGGCTAGAAACAACATATCTGGAAAGGAAGCTTGCCTCCATCTAACTTGAACAATTAGCTAATCTTAGAGTTAATCACTTAACTATCAGTAAACAAAACCAAGGGAAATATGTTGATAACACCCTGTTGGGCACTATATAAAGGCCATGACAGAGGGAGACTTTCAAACTCAAGAATTTCACTCTCTTGGAAACATCAAGAACCTCCACCCTCTGACACCATGGTCAACTCCTGTTGTGGCTCTGTCTGCTCTGATCAGAGCTGTGGTCAAGGCTGCTGCCGCCCCAGCTGCTGCCAGACCACCACCTGCTGCCGCCCCAGCTGCTGTGTGTCCAGCTGCTGCAGGCCCCAGTGCTGCCAGTCTGTGTGCTGCCAGCCCACTTGCTGCCGTCCTTCCTGCTGCAGGCCCAGCTGCTGTGTGTCCAGCTGCTGCCGCCCCACCTGCTGTGTGTCCAGCTGCTGCAGGCCCCAGTGCTGCCAGCCCAGCTGCTGTCGCCCCACTTGCTGCATCTCCAGCTGCTGCCGCCCTTCCTGCTGCCGTCCTTCCTGCTGTGGCTCCAGCTGCTGCAGGCCCCAGTGTTGCCAGTCCAGCTGCTGCCGTCCCAGCTGTTGCATCTCCAGCTGCTGCCGTCCTTCCTTCTGTGGCTCCAGCTGCTGTGGCTCCAGCTGCTGCCGCCCCTGCTGCCGTCCCACCTGCTGCTTCCGCCCAGTGTGTGGTCAAGTCTCCTGCCACACCACCTGTTACCGCCCAACCTGTGTCATCTCCACCTGCCCCCGCCCCACCTGCTGCGCCTCCTCTTGCTGCTGATCTTTGTTTGAAATCTCTGTGCTCATACTATAGATGTCCTCATCAGTCATATAAAACTTGTTAGAACCAGCCAATGAGTCTTACTAGCAATCCCTTTTCTCCTACCTTGACATTTTGAGTGTGTACACAGCTCATCTAAAATGGCAGATGTAAAGCATTTATTGAAACATTTTAACCAGGACCCAAATGTATGTGCTTTCAGACCAGGTATGTTTTCATTCTAAGTTTACATTGTTTTTGATGAGCTCCTGTTGTTTTCATGTCTTCTTAATAAACACCTATATTCATTGATATTGAAAGCCCTGCTTTATTAATCATATGGGGGTTGGGGTGGGTGGGTGTGTGACAGTTATATCAACTCACACCAAGAGCCATTTCTCTACAATTAGAGGGGAATATGTAGTTTGGACTGCCTGTGTTTGAACTCAGGCTGCACTAGGCATCTGTACAGCAAGAAGAACATTATATAACTTCCCTCAGCCTGTTTTCCCATGTCTGTGCAATGAGAAACGTCTTTTTCAAAGTTCAAAGCCATGATCTATGCAATACACTTAGCACAGGGCCTGACACATAAAACAAACCCTCCATAAATAAGATTTTGATTACTACTGAAACAGTGCTTGCATTAGAGTATTAGCATAATGTTCTCTTTCATATGGCATCAAGGAAGGTTTGAATAATTGTTTTAGTATCCTCTATAACTCAAAACTAAGTTTTGAGATGTGTCCCTTAAAATCTCCTGAGAGTTGAACAAGAAGAAATCTCAATTTCACCTGGGCTCTATGAGGAGAATTGTGGCATCAGGATTGGTGGAAGATCTATCAACAATCTGTGTTATGCAGATGACACAACCTTGCTCGCTGAAACTGAGGAGGACCTCGTGCACTTACTGCAGAGGGTCAAGGACTGCAGCCTTCAGTATGGACTGAGGCTCAATGTCAAGAAGACAAAGATTCTCACCACTGGACCAATTGGTAGCATCAGGATGGATGGCGAAGAGATTGAGATTGTTCACAGCTTCAGTTTGTTCGGCTCCACAGTCAACACTCTTGGCACCAGCAGCCAGGAAATAAAAAAAAAACATATTGCGATGGGAAAGTCTGCTGTTAGAGACCTCTCTAAAGTACTCAAGAGCAACGGTGTCTCTTTGGAGACAAAGGTGCACCTGATGGTCTTTGCAATCACTTGTTAGGCATCAAAGAGTTGGACAATGACTAGGGAGGACAGAAGGAGAATTGATGCCTGTGAGCTGTGGTGCTGGAGAAGAGTATTGAATGTACCATGGACTGCCAAGAAAACAAACAGATTCATCGTAGAGAGAATTAAACCAGGCTGCTCCTTGGAGGCAAGGATTCTGGGGCTTCGTCTGACATACTTTGGACATGCTGTAAGGAGAGACAGGTCTTTAGAGAGGGACATCATGCTGGGTAGAGTGGAGGGACAGCGCAGGAGGGGAAGACCCTCTATGAGGTGGATTGATTCAGTGACTGGGGTAATCGGGATGGGTGTGTCAGAGGCAATGCAATTGGCACAGGATAGAACGGGGTTTAGGGCTGTTGTACATAGGGTCGCTATGAGTCCCAAATGACTCGATGGCACATAACAACAACAATAATCTTCCATCATTGGATGTGTAAATTTTTAATATTCAGCTGCACTGCAATCGTAAATGTACATGGTTTGAATCCACTAGCTGCTCTGTGGGAGAAGGAAGGACAGTCTCCTCCCGTTCTATTTACTCCCTCTGAAAACCCACTGGAGGGTCAGCTGTGCGTCAGTTCCAACAAGAGGACACACACAAAACACCTAGCTCAGACTTGCCTGTCTTCCTTCTTCTCTTTCTAAGCATAAGGCTTTAGCTCAGTGACTCTTGCCTCCTGAATCATCACTTGTTATTCCTTCCTGGAAGGCATCATCTTTGTTCACAGATACTATAGCTTCTCCCACAGAGATGTTGTCCTGTGAACTGAGACATGGAGCAGCCCAGGTGTCACTCTTCTACATTATGCCCATGATTTTTGCAGTGTTCCTTACCAGGTAATGATAAAAAATTAGATGAAACATAATCGTATCTGCTGAGGACTCATAGAAACTAAAAAAGTGTGAGGGTTTGATGAGATAGGGATTTGGTGCCAACTTTTTGGCAAGTGAATTACCACATTTATTTACATTTTAAAGGCAATACTGTGATTCAGTCCAACTCTAAGACTCTGAAAGTTGTTCTTTCTTATTCTTATTCTCATCTGCTTCTTTGGTCTTTAAGTATCGAAAGACCCCAAGACTCCACCCTTTACCTTCCCTGTGAGACTTCACCCCTTAAAAGAATACCATGTTTATACTTTCATCCCTGGTATGCCTAGGGATTTGCAAAGTTTCTACCTGATTTCTTCATTCATATGATTAATCTATATCTCCAGCTTAAATTGGAAAAATATAACTCTTGGTTTCCTTCTGCCTCCATTATGGTATCAGTAATGCTCCCTGTTTAACACCAAACAATTTAGATTACTCATGATTAATTCTTTTCTCTCACCCTCTATGTTTAGGCCACCAATAACATCTGTCCACCATATCGCCAAAACTTTTCCTAATAAATTGACTTCTCTTCCATCTTCATTGGCAGTACTTTTGTCTAGGCGACTGTCTTACCTCACTTAAAAGAAATTGAAAGTCTCTTAACCAATAATCCTTACTCACTCTTTGTCTATAATACATTCTCCACACAACTGTATTTTTAAAGCAGAAAGAAAAAGATAACAATTTTGTCCTTAAAACCTTTATTCTACACTTGGGGAGAAATGATACTGACTTCTTATCTTGAATTATGATGTCCTTCACAAATTGGTCCTTGTCGAACTCTCCAGAGCCATCCCTTGCAAGCTCCCTTCTTAAGCCATGCTGACAGCCTTCTGGTTATTTGAACATACAGGAGTGGAGGGAGGCTCATCAACAATCTACATTATGCAGATGACACAATCCTGTTAGCTGAAATTGAGGAGGGCCTGGAGCACTTGCTGTAGAAGGTCAAGGACAGCAGCCTTCAACATGGATTGATGCTCAACATCAAGAAAACTAAGATTCTCACCCCTGGGCTGATTAGCAGCATCATTATAGACGGTAAAGAGATTGAGATTGGTAACAGCTTTAGTTTGCTTGGCTCCACAATCCACACTCTTGGTACCAGCAGCCAGGAAATGAAAAGACAGATTGCATTGGGAAAGTCAGCCGTCAGAGACCTCTCCAAGGTACCGAGGAGCAGCGATGTCAGTCTGAATACTAAGGTGCACCTGATACAGGCCATGGTCTTTGCAATTACTTGCTATGTATCATAAAGCTAGACAATGATAGAAGGAGAATTGATACCTTTGGGCTGTGGTGCTGGAGAAGAGTATTGAATACACCATGGACTGCTATGAGAACAAACAAGTTCATCCTTGAGAGAGTGAGACAAAGCTGATCTTTGGAGGCAAGGATTCTGAAGCTTCATCTGACATACTTTGGACATGTTGCAAGGCAGGACCAGTCCTTGGAGAGGGAAATTATACTTGGGAGGGTATAGAGACAGTGTAAGAGGGGAAGACCCTTGATGAGATGGATTGATTCAGTGACTTGAGTAATGGGGATAGGTGTGTCAGAGATAATAAGAATGGCACAGGATAGAGGAGGGTTTAGGGCTGTTGCACATAGGGTCACTATGAGTCTCAGGCGACTCAACGACACATAACAACAACATCTTTCACATCACAGCACTCTAACACTTGATGTATCCTGTGTCTGAAATGTTTGGTTTTCAGATTATAACTTGGAGTTGCCCTGTGTTACTCAAATGTAGGTTCAGATGTTCCCCTCTTCCTAGAATCCATGCCCTTCCTCCCAATATTAGTAGCTTGAATAATGTCAGATATAAGGTGTTGTTGTTGTTAGGTGCCATCGAGTCGAGTATGACTCATAGCAACCCTATGAACAAAAGATCTGAAACCAGTCCTGTCCTGTGCCATCCTCACACTTCCTGACACACAAGAGTCCATTGCAACAGTCACCTTGTCAATCCACCTGGTTGAGGATCTTCCTCTCCTTTGTCAACCCTCCACCCTTCGCAACATCATGTCCTTCTCCAGGAATAGCACCTCCTAGCAATATGCAACACCTCATCACTCTTGCCTCCAAAGAGCACTCTGGCTGCTCCCTCTCCAAGATATATCTATTCTTTTTCTTGACCATCCATGGGATGTTCAGAGCTCTTCTCCAACACCACAGCCCAAAGGCATCAATTCTTTTTCTGTCATCCTTATTCATTGTCCAAGTCTCTACAAAAAGGGTAGATGCTCAATAAGTATTCATGGAATGAATAGATCAATACACCATATGATTGAATTTCAAAAAGTGGAAAGTATATTTACACAGAGATATCTGAATAGGAAGAAAGGATGTGAGGAAAGTTGTCAGGGAGACTTTTTTTAAATTCATTTCAATGAACATTTACAGAGATTTTGGATTTCTATTCATTCATTGTTGCACTTTTCTCCCAGCCCACTCCACGCCCACCCCCAGTTCGCTCTTCTCCTTGAAAAGCAAAAGAAAAACTCCTTCACTGGTATACAATCCTCCCAAACCCTCCCATCCCCACCCCGAGTATACTCCACTCTGCAACCCTCATTCTGAACTCTTATGATAATCATAGTGCACTAAAATATATTACTTTTAAACTGTTCTCTCCCTCATTGACTTCTATGCAGTATACATAATCTATCCAGTTTTTGTCAGTCTTACCCCCACTATCAGGGAGACTTTTACTTCTTATTCTATGTGTGGTTTCTTGGGGTTTTGGTTTTGGGATTTCTTTGTGTTTTTGTTGGTTTGTTTGTTTTTTAATCTCAGGGTATTGAGTAGGAGAGTTCTGGTGGTGTAGTCTGGAGAGATTTGCAGTCAACTAGAAGGCCGCACTTCTCTGGCAATTCAAAGCCACCAGCTGCTCCTCAGGAGAAAGATGGGTAATCTCC